TTCTAGTCCTGGTTTAGTCCTGATTTACTTTTGGTCTAGTCCTGGTCTAGTCCTGGTTTAGTCCTGGTTTAGTCCCAGTTTTGATGTGGTCGACACTGGACAGTAAAGTTAATTCCTACTCCTTGTTTAGCCCTGGTTTAATCTTGGTTTAGTCTTATGTTAGTCTTGGTCTAGTCTCGGTTTACTTTTGGTCTAGTCCTGGTCTAATCCTGGTTTAGTCCTGGTCTAGTCCTGGTCTAGTCCTGGTTTAATCCTACATTAGTTTTGGTGTAGTCTTATTAGTCCTAGTTCTGTTTAGACTTAGGTTGTCCTGGTAGTCAAAGTTTGGTCGTCTTCTAGTCCTGGTCTAGTCCTGGTCTAGTCCCTGGTCTAGTGGTCCAGTCCTGGTCTAGTCCTGGTCTAGTCCTGGTTCAGTTCAGACCCAGCTTCACACATGTCACATCTGATCTGATTTCTTTCTGATTGTTTAAATCCGCGCAGGTTTTGACACGGAGAATTATGCAAAAAAAGGCAAAACTATGCGGCAAAGACAATCATTAAAAACAGAAAGTCAAAGCCGACGTACAAAACTTTTTCATTTATATTTTGTGTAAATAAAAACATTTTGTGTCATGTAAAAGCACCGCTGTGTGACAGAACGTGATGCGCTCCGTCCGCACCAGAAAACTAAGTATTTTTATTTCTTAGAAACCAGGAAGCCGCGCTCTGATTGGCTGTTCTTTGGCCGTCTAACCCAGTTTCACTTCAGCGTCAAGTGAACACATGTGGATTTAAACAGTTTGGTGACAGATTTGTGAGCACCAAGGACTCAGTTAAATAATTACTTCCTCATTTGTTATATTGTCAAGTTAGATTTACATGTTTTTTTTATATCTATATTGTACTTTCTCTTCCAAATGCAACCGTTAGTCCAAAAAAATACCATGTGTTAGTTTTGTTTTTTCAGTCCAGAATAAGGCGAATTTATCAAATTTTTATCGTGATTTCGATTTGTTTCTCCACTTTATTTATATGGCACATTTCACAAACAGTTTCCAAAGTGCTGCACAAACACATACTAATAAAAACAAGAATAATATAATGAAAAAATAAATGCTCAGATTGAATCATACTAGTCTTAAAATGAAAAAAAAAAAAAAAAAACAGTAAAATAAATAAGAGTGTGTCAAATTCAAATAATCGAGTTGAAACAAAAGCTTAACAAAGTTTATTTTAGGATATTTTTTAGTCCTGGTTTAATCTTTTTTTACATATAGAGATTGCAGAACAGCTGGATATTTACTTTATTTTGGACACATTTATGTTTTTTGCCTTATTTCATGTTCAAAGTTTGTTTTATACATCGCAAAACTGCTCTAAAGTTCATATTTGCAGCCGATATTTATTTTCAGTTTGAAAGTTTTGCGTAAATTATCAATAACAAAGTGTTCTGGGGTTTTTTTTGAGAGAGAGAAATGCTGAATAAATGTAGCCTGATTCATCGGATTTCACAAAAAACTCGGAATTGAGTGTTAAGCCCTGCAGTCTGAACGTAGACTTAGTTTGGTAGAAGACGTTTCGCAGCTCGTCCAAGTGAAGTGCAGCTGAAGAAGCAGCTTGGATGAGCTGCGAAACATCTTCAACCGAACTAAATTTTGTCCAGTCGACAAACTGAATTTTCTCCTCGCCGTACTGTGGAACATTTTAAGCCATGTAGTAATATCTCCATGGAGACAGTTAGGTAAAAATAAATCCTTTATTCAGGTTTTGGTTCCAACATAATACGACATGAACACGAGTACATGGACTTGGTTTGTATTTTTAAAAATCAGAAACTAATAATCGATTCTAAAACTGGAATCGAGACTAAATCCTTATTTTTTCGCAGGTATCGATACTAAAAAAGTCACATTCAGAGGACAGAACTGAACCTTTTGTGATGATCTCGAGCGTTAAACATCTCTAGTTGAACATCTCTTCATTTGAGGACAGACATTTCAAAAAGACGTGTAGAGAATTTCGCGGAAAGTTCAGATTTGACGCTCAAGAAGAACCGTGGGAAACCTGGACCTGAACCGAAGCACACAGTCTCCACAGAGCTGACACGTAAACCTGACGCCCCTGACGCCGCGGTCTGGGCCCGGAACAACACGGACACTTGAAACTTCGCGTCTTTAACAATGGAGAAGATTTTTATTTATAGAAGAGGAGTAAGACGACGAGTGTGCGGCGCAGTGATGTGGTGAGTCCTGGAGGTAACGAGGCTCGTTTGATGCATGAGTCACACAGAGTTTAACACGGAAACACGACACAGTGACGCTCAGCGCACAAAACAAGCACATAAACCAGGACTAAACCAGGAATAAAACAGGACTAAACCAGGACTAAAACAGGACTGAAAGGACTGAACCAGGACTAAACCAGGACTGAAACCAGGACTAAACCAGGACTAAAACAGGACTAAACCAGGACTAAAACAGGACTAAAACAGGACAGGACTAAACCAGGACTAAACCAGGACTGAACCAGGACTAAAACAGGAATAAAACAGGACTATAACAGGACTGAAGCAGGGCTAAAACAGGATTAAACTAGAGCTAAACAAGGACTAAATAAGGACTAAACCAAGACCAATGCAGGAATAAACCGGGGCTAAACCAGGACAAAACCAGGACTAAATAAAGAGTAAACCAGGACTAAACCAGGGCTAAACCAGGACTAAACCAGGGCTAAACCAGTGCTAAAGAAAAACTAAACTAGGACTAAACCAGGATTAAACCAGGTCTAGACCAGGACTAAACCAGGACTAAACAAGGGCTAAACCAGGACTAAACAAGGGATAAACAAGGACTAAACCAGGGCTAAACCAAGACTGAACCAGGACTGAACTAGGACTAAACCAGGACTGAACCAGGACTAAACCAGGACTAAACCAGGGCTAAACCAGGACTAAAGTAGGACAAAACCAAGACTAAACCAGGACTGAACCAGGGCTAAACCAGGTCTAAACAAGGATTAAACAAGGACTAAACAAGGACTGAACCAGGACTAAACCAGGACTAAACCAGGGCTAATCTAGGAGTAAACCAGGACTAAACCAGGACAAAATCAGGACTAAACTAGGACTGGACCAAGACTAAAATAGGACTGAACCAGGACTAAGACAAGAAAGAAAAAATTGTGAACTAAGTGGAGTTAGAAGTAATAGTAGTAGTCCTAATAGTAGTAGTAGTAATAGTAGTAGTAGTGTGGTTATTATATTGCCAGTACTTCTTTAACTACTATTACTTCACCCAAAATTATAAGAAGCAAATAAATAAATAAAGTTTCTCGTGAGTGTTGTAGAGCGCGGCTGCGTCAGGGAGCAGCGTTAAACTCCTGTACTGTGTTGTTTAAATCCACGTACACACATCTGCTGTCATCATGGGCCAAATATTAGACCTATAAAATATGTACCACCACGAGGGCGTTTAAGGAGAAGGGGGCAAAGACGGGAGCAGCACCTGGGCTCCTGTCTGCGCCCGTCCCGAAGGCGCCACGATCTCACCTAAAGCTCCGACATCACACAAACCCGACGCCTGCCAGTTTTAAGACGGGTTCCTCCTCAAAAAACAGACCTGGACTTGTGTTTTGTGTTTTGTTTCATATTTGAGTTACTTTATTATTAGTCTGTCTGCATCTCCAAAGCTCAAAACGCTCTGGTCCACCTTGTGATGTCATGAAGTTTGAGTTAAAGGTGGATTGTGTAGCTTTTCTGATGGTCCTTCAAATGCTTTTCCTCGAGTCTGATTCATCGGGCGGTTTCACTTTGTGGAAACCGTCTGACCTCGCAGCATTATGATTCGTTTGCTCGACTGTAAGCGGGTATTTTTTTATTCAACGTGACGTATATAATGAGTCAAATCCCGTAGGAAGAAGGACAATAACGTCTTTCCCCTTGATAAAATTCACCAAACATTCTCTTTGTTTTCCGGCTTTAAATCCTCGATCTGGGGAATTGTTGACAACACAGAATGTCTGGCTCTTCGCTGATTGGCTGGTTCCCGAACTAGCACTTCCGGGGTTTTTGCGAACCGTCTAGTGTATTCTGATTCCTGATCTAGTCGCTGGAGAGAAATGAAATTGAGCGGAGGCACTAGGTGGCACCAGCCTGGCTACTTTTCCCCATGGAGAATAGAGAAAAATGGCATTAAAACTTTCTATTTTCATGGAAACCACACAGGTAACAGCGCCCGAGCACGACACGCCCCAAAAGTCGCGCTAACTGGACGTCCCTGAGCAAATCCCGCGCCTCAGAAAAACTGTTGTGTCCTGTGTGTTATAAACTAGAGCTGCGTGGATGGGCTACTTTTTCATCTGCAACCGCACAAAACTCATCATCGGCCCTCTGTCCATTTGCAACCACAGTTTTTGACCAGTTTTCAAAACCGCACCCCCCCGCCATCCGCTTGGTCTCCTCCCATTTGC